ACTGACAGAAATTTATCTTACGTAAAAAGCAATAGTAAATCTAAAATCTTAACTATCTTTGTCATAAGACGATTTATTTAACAAATGACCAATACGATCAGACTTCATATAATCATAACATGAAGTTACTAGAGACCAGATTCGTTACGGTGTACATCTGACGAATGAGCCGCATACCGCTCGCGAACTGCGCAAAAGGAAAACCATGCACATTAAATGAGTTCCTGTAAGCGAGCAATTCGGGAACGGCTTGAATTGCGCATTTGCCACTCATTCGCTATGTGTGAACGGACCCTTATAATGAGTTGAATTTGAACGAAGGTCACCTCGTGATGAATATTCATCGAGTTCGCTCAACGCCTCTAAATTATTTGATGCGCTTTGGGAAATTTGTGTAGTTTGGTGTCGGTTTGCGGTTGAATTCTCTGTACGTGTTAATTTAATGTTAATTAATACACAATGTCACATGATTTTCCTAAATTTTACAATAAACAAGTTTACAATGAAAATTGAAAAAAAGACTTCTTTTTTATATCATAAGGTTACGAGTTAGCGGCCACCTGAAATCGCTGAAATAGCGAAGTGACCGTTGCCCATAGACATACGCAATTGCATATGCGTTGCCTACCTTTAATCAACGGAGGAGAGGATGCACAGAAAGAAAATATTTCCTCTTTCCACGCATCTCCTCATCCGGAAAGTCCACTTCCACTTCCCATCCTTTCTTTGTAAGAAAAAGGGTGGGAAGGGAAAGAGGACTAAATTAGGCCTCCAGGACGCATTTTTAAATACCTCACAGGTTGAAATGTCCAACACCTATCACTAAAACCTATTTAAAGAAAGAATGCAACGTTATTTCTAAATGTCTTTCTCCGTTGCCTTTTTTAAAAAAAATATTGGACCAAAGATGCTTTCAGTTAAAAGCAATATCTTATTTGATAAATTGAGTTAATGTTTCAATAACTTAATACAGAGTAAATTGAGCGGACGTCACGATATTTCTGTAGCGACACTTAAGGAAATGAAATTTTCCTTCATCAATTATTGAAGGACACTTAAAGTTTTTTAGATGTTTATGATAAACATGTTTGGAACACCCCTATTATACAGTATGTTCAAAAATGTCGTGGATGTTGTAAGTTCAAGTAAAGCGTTCTATCATTACGTAATTCTAAACTTACATTCAAAGAATTAAAGGCAAAAAGTTAGTGTAAAGGCAACAGTACAGTTTTAAGTTAAAAAAGGCAATTGTCTTTAAAAGTTGTTAAATCGAGTGTAGCTTAAACCTAGTTGTAGATGTTTCAAGTTGTCGAGAACTTGAATTACTTTGGCAGGACTATTTATCTACCACAAAGTTGCAATCAATTGTGGGAGACAGTTCAATCTCACACAGTTTTGTGTGGAGCGCTGGGTGCAATGAAGCATGTACTAGATTGAACGGTGAATAATCGAACGGTGTACAAAACAAGTATGTAGATGGAATTGACAATAACACTATAGTATAGCTTCCAAATTAGTGTCGTTTAATAGGAGAGCGTGTGTAATAGGAGTGTGTATGTAGTAGGAGAGCGTGTGTAATAGGAGAGTGTGTGTGTAATTGGAGTGTTTGTGCAATATGAGTGGGTGTGTAATAGGAGCGTGTGTGTAATATGAGTGGGTGTGTAATAGGAGTGTGTGTGTAATAGAAGCCACTTGAACTTAAAAAAATAAAAACCAAGTACCGCTAAGATCAAAGCTAATATAAATCGTTGTTGTCACTAAATATTCATGGATATAGACGAGAGCTTTGAAGTTATTTCTCCGCCCGTGGTCTGGTCTCGTTCAAAGGAAGTGCCTGTTGCGTAATCTGACCCTAATTATGTTATCCAACGTTAAAAAATAATTTGCGTTAATGGATATTTTTTTAATAAAATAATTTCTACTGAAATTCTTCTTTCAATTTTTAGTATTTGGTGAATAAATTTGTGTTGTAGGTTCTACGTTCCACTGAACAAAGACTTGTATAAAAAACATGTTGTCATTTTCTTTATCTCTTACAAAAAACCATGCAACGATATATGTTCAAAAACAAGTTTTTGGCAGTCGAATCTCACATATTGTTTGTAACGCATGATTATTCTGTAACTTTCTAATTAGGTAAAGACACAGATAATATTATGACGTTAAAACAATTTATCAAAAAAGTAAATTAAAAAATACTGACAAGAAATAATGAGGGCGCCGAAATGGCTTTTAAGAATAAAAAATTGGTTCGCATTCCTGAAATGTTTTTGTTGTAAAAATCAATTCACAAACCATTTTACCGCGTCGAGGAAACATTTTTATTGTTTCTCTTTTATTTTATCCTTTTGTTATTTGAAACAGCCAGCATTAAGTAATGTAGCATTGTTGGTATAGCCTATTTAATGACTCTAAGAAGTTGAAAATACCAAAGTATTTTCAAAAATTTAAACAAAATAAAAAATTAATGTTTTTAAAGATAAATATTACTTATAATCAAAATGCGAATGTTTTAGATGAATGGCTGTTTGTTTAAAAGTATCTCTACAATAGCGGAATGAATCTCGGTTAAATTTGGCATAAATAGAACATAGTCTAAAAACACATTCTACTTATTAAGTTGTTTTTTTGTCGCGCGAACGGATTCGTAGGCGATAGTTAGTAATATTATTTTCCAGTGAACTATACTTACTATCAGGGTGAATGAATATAACGTTTTTACAAAACGGAATTGATACGATTAGTGTAATTTTTATTACATCGTAGCAGGAAAACTTCGCTCTACTGATGAATATTTTAAATGCAGACCGGCGTTTCCCTACAAAGTTACCAATTCATCATTTATTCAATTTTAACGCCCATAAGTTAGCGGAGCTTCGCTCATGGTTTTACCGGAAAGGTTTTTCACATTATTATATCAGTAAATTTTCTTTTTATCCAAGAATTATTTTTAATTTACTCAATTCTCTCGGTTAAGTCGTACTTTACGTGTTACGTGTACGTACGTTGTTATTCCGTCTCTTATTATCTTAAATTTAGTTATATTTGAAGCTAAATGAAACTTCATAAAAGTATGTCAATATTTTTTGATGGTAAAAGAAGTTTATCAAAACACACGTGCCTCTATTTTTAGACATTAGAATCATTTGGCGCGAATGACGTGCTTTCGTTATGAAGTCTAGTGTCATAATGGACAGTGAGGGGACATAAACGACATTTTAGTAAGGCTAGTGTTGAGTCAATACACTGCCACATTTTCGGATTTTATTTTTAACAGAGGGTCTCAACCATAGTTGAATTTAAAAAAAATCATGTATTTTTTTAATGTTGTTTATATGATAAAATCAAGTAGATGAAAGCATTTATAATAAACGCTGGCAGTGTGTCATCAAAGTTTATGAGCGCATAATGGCGACGAGACAGTGAATAAATCATTGGACGCGAGTGTGGAAGACATCTCGTTACTGAGAACCGTGCGAACACAAAGTGAAGTACACAAAGAAAAGTTAGGAAGAAACATTTAACAGTATTTTAATTTATAAAAAAACATTTTTTATTGAAGCAGAAAAGATTAATCTTACTAATATTATAAATGAGAAAGTTTCGTTGAATGGATGGATGTATGTTTGTTAGAAAGTATCAGATCGGCTCAACGGATCTTGATAAAAATTTATCACGAATGTAGATTGTCAACTTATGAAGTTTTTTTTAATTCCGCGAGAACAGAGTCTCAGGCGACTGTTAGTTTTTCATAATGTTAATTCATTACGCTCTCATACGATGTTTGACGATTGAACCGGTTCATAAGGAACTAACTAGTTAGTTTGTGTCAAACGCTATGTCAATTTAGTTTACATTATTATATCAATAGATGGCGGAACATATTACTAGATCACGATATTGATTTATTTAGTATGTTTATCGACTTGCCGATCGCATATCAATAAAGTTGACTCGCACCAAGATATAACCAGTGTTTCATTGTGACTACTCGATACTTCTCCAGTGAGAGGGAGATCTTTTTGAGACTGCTTTACAGTTTGTGTTGTTAAATGGTTGAAAAGTATCAGAAGTAATTTGTATTATTAATAATGAATAAAAATAAAATGTATTTATTTATCAATATGTGACAGTAATTGTAACATAAGCATCAACTCTAGAACTTCAAAGAGTTGGCCGCGTTCCAAAACGACAAGACTCTACATTCAAAAGATAGCAATAAATTACACGTGAACAATATAACAAAAGGCATCCACCGTATTACTACGTCCAAGTAAATTAATGGCTGGATTGAATTAGAATAAGATCTCCAACATCTGTATACTTTAAACCTAGTTGCAGATGTGATATGAAACGCAGTAACTTGACTTAAAGTCGTATGTTCAAGGTTTCAACAGTGGTAGAGTCCGATTTAACATCTTCGCACGAATTTGTCCGGCTCGCCCGGTGAAATACCACGACCATACAGAAGACAGGCGTCAAGTGGAAGCAATTCCGCGTTTCGTCTGATGAGTGTGCGTCCCGGAGGCCTAATTTAGTCACCTTTCCCTTCCCTAATTTCTTTTATAAAGAAAGGTTGGGATATGAAATGGACTTTCCGAATGAGAGGATGCATGGAAAGGAAGATATTTTCTTTCTGTACATCCACTTCTCCGTCGATTAAAGGTAGGCAACGCATATGCAATTGCGTATGTCTATGAGCAAAGGTTACTTCGCTATTTCAGCGATTTCAGATGACCGCTCGCACGTTTGCCACCTTATGATATAAAAAAAAATAGAATAAGGTCTCCAACAGCTGTATACTTCAAACCTAGTTGTAGATGTGATATGAAACGCAGTAACTTGACTTAAAGTCCTATGTTCCCGTATTCGTAATATTCACATCGCTACTTTGGCTAATTCCGGTGGTATTTTGCTCGTTTATCACCTTCCACTATATCCGACTCGAAGGACTATCCTCTTTAACTATTTTTTGATGGTTTGTTGTGTTATATACTCACGGAATGCAGTCTACGGGCAGCATCATGTATGGACAGGATGTGAGTAATCTTGTACTTGTCAAGCTGTACGGGGTCCTTGGAGTCCCGGTAGTTGCCCACGTACAGCCCAGGCAGGACCTATACAAAATTATGATAATCAAAATCTATCAAATCTCTTTAATTTCTTACGATAAATATAAATTATTTTTCATATTGTGAGAAGAATTGTCAAGTACCCATTAGAAATAAAACCCTGTTTCGTGATACATTAAATCATGTTTCCTTTATACTTTTTTGTGTAGTTAAGATACTAATATGTTTCGTTATAGAAATGGCGTCGTTCATAAAAGAATATTTTAGTAGCTTTGCTAAAAATTTATATTAAAAAACTTATCGAAAATCGTATGAAATAAAAAAAAAAACTATGAATACTAAAGAATAAAATGACCGATATTACCGAAGCTAATATTTGCTCGTGAATCAAAGTAATCCATTAGACGACCTTTTGTACCTTGAAAAAGTTATAGAAGTACTAAAAGCTCAGGAAAAAGCATTGGCCATTACTTATTGCCTATTAAAGCCATATCTTTGCATATTTTATATAGAAAACTTTTTTACAAAATAACCAAACAAATTTAAAGAGAAAGGCAAAAATATACTAGCTGTCGCCCACGACTCCGTCCGGAGGAATAAAAGAAAACTAAATTAGTAGCATATGTGTTCTTATAGACTCTGCACTATAGCAAATTTCAGCGAGATCCATGTAGCCGTTCTGGAGATACCTTCTAACAAACATCCATCCATCCATATATCCATCTAAATATTCCCATTTATAATATTAGTTTTAAGTAATATTTTTTATTACAGTTAAATTGTCTTTTGTTTTTTATTTTGCGAAAATTGTACCGTTTGTGTGTTTAATATTACCGAAGATATTATCAACTTTAAGAGTGTTATCAACAAATGTCTATAAATAAAATATTTCAGGTCTATATTTTAATAAAAGTGCTGCAAAGTGTACAAGTTTAGGTGATTACACTTGGTCTCGCAATTAGTGTGGAGGCGGTGAGAACTGCTACGGAAGCTAGTATAATGGACACAAGCCGCTTTTGACGTGCCGGTCGTGCGACACAATACGTCCTCAACGAGGCAACATAATTATATTTTAAGACGCAATTGTAATTTCTGTTTGTTCATACATTGTTGTTCGTCAAATCAACGACTTATATTCGATGTATTTACATTGCAAAATCGGATCGAATATTGTATTAAATCCGATAGCACATCTTAGAAATATAATAAATGCAAAAGTTTAAATGGATGTTTGTTAGAAGGTATTTCTAGAACGGCTTACCGGATCTCGATGAAATTTGGCATAGACGTAGAATATAGAGTCAGTAGTCTGGAAGAACACGCAGGCTACTAATTAAGTTTATTTTTCAAGCGGACGGAGTCGCGGGCGAAAGGTAGTATGGACATATATTTTACCATAAATGGGATGTAATAAAGCTTTTAATTCATAAACAACATGGGATTAATGGTAATACGGTATTAAAATATATATTATTAAAACGGTAATCCGATTGCACAAAGATTAAAGTATCAACAACTTTTATAGAATAGCTTTAATCTATTTGTTTATTTGTTCATTATAATAAAAGACATTGATCCAATTAATCTTATTATTATTTTCCATGAAAATATTAAAAACTATCTGTCTCGCGGTTGGATATATAAAAAACTTAATTAGTGTAGCCTATGTGTTCTTTCAGACCATGTTCTATACGTATGACAAATTTAATCGATATCCGTTCAGCCGTTCTAGAGATATCTTCAAACACCCATCCATCCATCCACATCACATCCATCTAAACATTCGCATTATAATATTTGTAAATTAAATAAAAAGCAGCTCTTCAAGGCATAAATTCGAAAAAAAAATTGTATCCTATATCCGTCTCCTGGCTCTAAGCTACCTCACCAATTCTCAGCCATATCGGTAAAGCCGTTCTTGAGTTATAAATAGTGTAACTACCACAACTTTTTTTATATACATATATATGTATAGATAATTAATTAACCTCACACAGTAATATATAAAATTCTCATGTGACAATATTAGCTACCGATTTTTATGAAATTTTATATGCACATTCAACAGGTCTGAGATTCGGCTACTATGTATTTTTTAATCCGCTGCGAAGAGAGTCGCGGGCAGGAACTAGTCTTTATATATATTATTTTAAAGACATTTTATATATTCTAAAGGCTTTTCTTTACATTATATAAGGTAGAGTGGAGATTTCAAGTAGTCTTTGTTATTCTATTGTTACAAGATTCATTGTTAAATATCATCGATAGAAACTTCAGGTACGAAGTTTCGGATTAAGTCTTTTGTGCTTTTTTGTATTTGCATTGTGATTTTAAAACAACTTTTAACCTTTTACGTCTAAACTGTAGTAGACACATGTGGGTAAGTATAATAGTTTCACATATACAGTTAAAATTTATGTAAAAAACTATTTTATTAATGCTTAATGACCTATATAACAAACACTTCCGTTGTATGTGAATTAAAGCTCAATTATGTATTCATACGTCAGCAATCAATACTGCCAACATGGACAGATAAATATAATACAACAAAATCATGTCTTCGCCTTGTCGTATCTTACCAGTATCTTTATCTACATATTACTAAATTGGAGTGTCAGTATCATCATCATCATCAGCTCAGCATACGTCCCCACCGAGGGGCTCGGAGCCTATCTTAATTAAAAGGTGATGAGGCCATAATCAATCACGCTGGCCAACTGCGTGGTTGGTTGACTTCACACATATCTTTGATTTTCTTCTCAGATATGTTCAGGTTGCATCACGATGTTTTCCTACATCGTAACAACGTTAGACAAATGTATATATGTAAATCGGAAATTGAAAGACACATTGGTGCATGGCGGGATTCGAACCCTGGATCTGCAGATTTCAAGTCAAGTGCTTGACCCCTGAAGCACCGACGCTCTAGTGTCTTTATGTAATATATATATTTCATACACATGTATTTGCGTTATTGATAATGAAAAAGTGATCTTTTGTCTGTCTGCAAGGCCGCGTATATTCCGGATTATTTCCGGAACGGCTGGACTGACTTTGACAAAAAGGTTAGGTTATTAATTTTAATACTGCGATAAATCGCGTAATAGCATTAGTACTAAATTGAAATAAATCATTTAAACTCCATTATTCAAGTTCGACACAAAATGAGACAGTTTTATAACACTTATAAACACAAGCATAATGTAAGCTGTAGCACAAGGTCGTGAAGAATATAAAAAAAATGATGAACAGAAAAGTTCAAAACAATTGTTGCGAATGAAAAATGAGAGGCTGAATAAAAATTAATCTTCTGGTTTCATTCAAAATGATAAATGTCTCGCTATGTTTCAAGATTGTTGTTGTCAGTAGATTTATTTTTCTTTTATTGTTCAACTCCACTTAATTATGCATTTGATGACAATAAGTTTCCACTACGTTTTCATAAATTGTCCTCAATGAATTGAATTTATTACTCTTTTGATAGAGCGTCGGTGGCTTAGGGGTCAAGCACTTGACTTGCGATCTGCAGGTCCTGGGTTCGAATCCCGCCATGTACCAATGTGTTTTTCGATTTCCGATTTACATATGGACATTTATCCGACGTACTTACGGTGATGGAAAACATCGTGATGCAACCTGCACATATCTAAGAAGAAACTCAAAGATATGTGTGAAGTTAACCAACCCGCAATTGGCCAGCGTGGTTAACTATGACCTAATCACCCTTTACTTAGGGTAGGCTCCGAGCCCCTCGGTGGGGACGTATAGTGAGCTGATGATGACTCTTTTGATCTCTTGTCTACTTCTAAAGTGATTATTAAGTAAACATGTTTTTTTTAAATCTCTGTAAACATATCGTCATCCCTGTCATTATCATTGACAAAAAACAGAGATAACAATATATTTTAAACGGGAATTTTGTTCTCAGAAACCTACAGTTAGTTATTTAGTACCAAAGATTAATTAATTGCTACTAAGATAAAAGTTAAAAGCTAAAAGTCTAACTAACCTATAAAATAAATCTGCCCTAGCTTACGTCATCTTTGTGTAATTTACGTGTCTTTTACTTTACATTTAAAAAGCGATAAATGTTATGTTGTCTATATCCTTCAGATCAATAAGCAGAAATGACTATCGAAATACTATAACTCAACACAGTTGGCAAGAAATCAAAATATCATTACGTGAACACTCACACCAAAGGTCACAAGAACTGACAGTGAAACTTCGAATATACCAAGTTGAAATTGGAAAATAATATTTTCATATAATCTTATGACTTTAATTCAAATATTCAACATTATATACACATCTTTCTGACAAATCCCGGACGTAAATAAACGTTAACTTTAAATAGTTATGAAGAAAACACTAAATACATCTAAATAACATAATTAGTAAAATAACTGATTTCATAGACAATTATCCAGCTTTTATAACGGTGTCGTGTCATTTAAAACACACGGTAAAAAAAACAACCGCTCATTACCTCGCTAAAAGTAAAAGCAGTTGAAAGTCAACAGCGAACCGCACTTGTTTGTCATAAAACGACCACTTTACCACAAGGAGCATAATTTTAGACGCGTTCCTCGCGATGCCTTTGGACCTCGTGATACTTGTGTACCTCGCCATATTATCATATTCATTTATGTTTTCCTTATATGTGCCCTGATGACATAAAATGTTGTTTTTACTGAAACAATATTGTCTTTTTTTCGGGTCTATAGTTCAATGAAAGTTGGCAATTCTAGGTGACACACAAAACATGATTCAGCTTTGTGTTTAGGGAATAAGAGGTAATTTTAAGGTTATCCAGATTCCATAACAAATAATATTAGCGATAACTGTTTGGCGTGGTTTGGGCTTATTATGAGAAGGGAAGAATCGCATGTAGAAGTAAGTTTAGGAAGAGACGGATGGATTGCGTGAAAGGTACCATGATTATGAAGGTGACGACGGAGATGACGGTAGATAGATTAATTTGGAGGACGGAAATTCGGTGCTCTGACCTGTAAGTGGGACAAGGTCTGGGAGTTGCTGATGATGAAATGAAAAGTGAGGAAAAAGAAATATAAAAGCAGCAAAAAATAAGAGTAAAGATTATATCAGTCTTTTAGGTTTCATGGAATTTGATGTGTGTTTGATTTTTGTTCCATATCGTTAGTTCGATATAAAAATGTAACGTCAATAATTTCATCGTAATTCGCGTGACTGGACAAAGTACACGTAATCACGCGAACGTAGATTTTATTATGTAGCGGGATTATCGCCTGCAGCATGAAGAATTAGGTATATACATAAACAGTAGCGGCGTTAGATTAGAGTGAAGTGGGGCAAATGCCCAGGGCGTCGGATATAAAGGGGTCAGCAGTGCCACTAAGATACCATAACGTTGAAAGATTCCTCCGACACAAAAATTGGGCCCCACAAAAATCTCGCCCAGGGCGCCGGAAATGCTAAATCTGGCCCTATGAACAGTTTAAGGTTGAGTTTCCACTTAAAGAAAATAAAACACCTTTACAGATGTTTATAGGAAGTGGAAGCCACAGTAAAATATATTTTTCAACGCGCTAAAACGATAGTAAAATCTTTAATACTGTAAGAGTTTTTGGTATTACATTAAAATATAATTAGCCAGCTCGTTACCTTAAAACCGAAAGGCAATTTGACCCAGTTTCGTGAATCCAAACGTAACTTAATAAATGTATATTAGAACTTTCAATGTTATTGTTCTTGACATTTTCTAACAAAAAAAGGAATTTAAAATTCTTTCCACCGCATACCAACCGCCCCGCAGTTGGCCATCGTGGTTGACTATGGCCTAATCACCCTTAACTTAGGGTAGACTCCGAGCCCCTCGGGGGGCACGTATAGTGAGCTGATGATGATGATGAAAATTATTTCAATACCTTCATATTTTTACCACAGTACAAATAAATATATATTTTATTAGTTATCGCCAGCAACTCCGTCCGCGTGGAACCAAAAAAACTTAATTAGTATCCTATGTGTTCACACTATGTCCTACATCTATGCCAAATTTCCATTCGATCAGTTCAGCCGTCATACCTTCATACAAACATCCATCCATCCAAACATTTGCATTAATAATATTATAGTAAAATATGGAAGTAGTTCTAATTAAAACATAGTAAGGGAAATTTCATTATTAACATTTTTATAATATTTTGAGATTAATTAACATTCTCTTTTGTATTATATAACAAAGTTTAACTTTAAGCGTTCATCGAATAATAATCTGAAGTATAAAGTAACACATAATAAAATGATAAAAAAAAACAGCAACGACATAAACTTTAACAAAGTAATTCAGCAAACATAGGATGTATATAATTATATTATTAGCAAACACGAAAGGCCTAAAATGTTCAACAGCTCGCTTAATCTAGTACAAACTGGAACATGCAATGAAGACTAATTTAACCCATTTAAATTGTTAACAAAGGTAACCATATCTGGACTACTAAGAATCCACTTATGTATGTTAATAAAATAACTCGTAATCGTAGATTTTGCATATTAAGGATCTCCGTTTGGCTTGTTCTTATATTTTTTACAATCTGTAATTTACGTTAGTAATATTAATTTATCAACATAGATAAACATGGTAACGCAGAAAGCGTTGCGTCTTTTAAAATATATTTCAATAGCCCTCATTTCCTATGTTTGTTTGTTTGAAGGTATCTCCAGAACAGCTGAACGGATCTCAATTAAATTTGGCATACATATAGAATGTAGTCTGGAAGGCATAGGCTAACAATTATGTTTTTATAATACCGCGCGGGCAGAGTCGCGGACCGTCGCTAGTAAATAATACAAAAAAAGCGTAACATCGAAAAGTATAGGCAACATACTTTAATTTGGAATAGCGTGAGAAAGGGCGTATATAAAATAAAAAAACCAATGTAATTTAGTAAACGGGCCACCAGAGTTCATTGACCCTTTTACATACATATACATACTATAATGAAACTTCCAAGCCCATTTGTTCAAAGTATCTGCTAAACGAAGGCCGGAATAGGTGAACCTTTTTCAAACAAAATCTTTTTGGTTAAATTACTTTTATTAGTTGTAAAAGGTAAAAGCGGTTTTTTTCTATACGCTACAGGTAATGCTTGTCATTTTAGCGTGAGTTTACATTGCTGATATATTTGTACTAAAAATATGTCGATCTCTCTTTTTTTGAAGAGAATGATAGCGATGACGTTGTTTTCACATGTGTTTTGATAGTGGAAATTCATAAAAAAGGTATAGTAACATAACAATTACTTTATAACAATTTTAAACGTGACATTTTTGTAACCAAGCATCATGTAGATATCAAAGTATTCCTAAAAAAAAATTTCTTTATGAATCGATGAACTGGTATTAATTTGCACAAATAACTAACCTAATAGACGAGTTTTATTTTAGAAATATATTTAAAGCTTTAGAGAAAGGTTATCCTATTTTAAATTCAGATCACATATGTGTGACACTGAAGGCTACATGCGCCCGGCAAAAGAAAAATAGCAGACCTCGGGAACCTTTACTATTATATAAATATACTACTATAATATTTTATTTAATTCTTATAACATTAAAAGGACGATTTTATGGACAGTATTTACATTTTAATATCTGAATAAAAATTTTGTTATTCGACCAATTTGAAACACTTTTTTTACTTTATGTTATATGTTAGGTAAATACATTTAACATTAAAAAAATTGTTTATACTACAATAACAAAACCAAATTGATAATTAATAACAAAAAATATAAAAAATACCTTATGCGTGTAATATTAAAATTTAGTTTCAATAAAATGATGTTGGTTTATGAGGGTAGTTTTACTTTTCTGACATTGTAACAAACGAACTTTGTTCTCGGTTTTCAGGCGGCACGCGCTACGAGAAGGCTACGAGCAGAGCCGCTACGACACGGCAGTTACGTAACTGCAATGTGCCGGACACTTTATTTACAACATATTATATTAAATATTATATAAAATATAAAAAAGTATATTACCTTATTCATTCCATTTCCCATTTTTAAAGGTGATGTTGTAACGTACACAAAAATCACCACAAATCTCTCAAAGTAATCTCAAAACACGCCAACACCGCACATTTTTTACTTCGGAAATCATAATTGGGACTCGTAAAAATGGTTTAACATTACCAAACTGTCAAATTGTCAACAGTAACGTCACTATGGCTACATTGTTGACGCCGGTGATACACGCGATTGCTATTCTATCGATGTTTTTATCGACACATCGAGTTATCGTACAGAAATGTACGTTTTTAATCACACTAGTGATGTCTCACTATCGATAATTTAATTTTAATGACTACTTTCTGTTATCGATTGAAAAATTCTTTTAAACGAAACGATTTTGAGAAAACTGTAACGGAACATTAGTGAGTTACGAAAACGGGCGTCCGCGGCCGCTTGCGACGCGGTACTGACGCCGGGGCCAGCGCAAACCGGGCGGGCGGCAGAGGCACTGCGTCTGTAAGCCTGCCTAATGATGTGCCTTCGGAAAAAGATATCGATATGTTACAACAGAATCATATATTTTAACTTGAAAAGGAAACTATGTAAAAGAGAAAGAATATGTAATCTTTTCGTATAAATAAATGAAAAACATCACAACTTTTAGACATTATTAATTACAATCCTTTGGCGCGAATGACGTGCTTTCGTTTCAAATCTAGTGTCAGAATGAATAGTGAGGGGACATAAACGTCGACCTTTTTGCGAGGCTAGTGTTGAGTCAATACAATTACAATTTTATTCCTAACACAACGGAGAATAATGTGTACGTTACAAGTAAATACTACAATTATTTTTAACTTTGCCAACAACACAATTATTTAAGCCACATAATTTCTTTGTCTAAACCGAGCGAACTGGGGTGAGATGTTTTGTTGTTGAAAATATATATAACAAAGTAAAATCGTAACAGCTTTTATTACCATTACTATAATCTCTACATGGCCAGGTTAATATTGTCGATAAAAAATAATCGATAAATATTTACGACGTTACTAATCCGTCCCAGGGCACGCGGGCAACTGCAAAGCGGTACTTGGAATTACCATGTGTTCGAAATCAACTAATCTAAATTAACTTTATCGAGATTTGTGATTTTATAACTATTTCACTAAATGTATTGAAAAAATAATAAAACAAGATCACAACTATGACCTACTTTAATTCCTTGATGAGATAGTATAAGTCAATATGATGTTTACGATTTTTTTTTCAAATTATAAGGATTCTACCAATTTTGAAACTAACCAGGCACAAAATATTTAGCAGCTAGATTTACAGCTCAAAATCTTTTGCGTTACGCTTTGCTACATGTTCGCTTTCACGGCTATGTGCTACAGGACTTTGTATCTCTACGCTTCCTTGCTACGACTGTAACTGCTCGTAGCTCATAGCAAACAACGTGAGAACCTCATTTTATTTATCCGAATGAAGAATTATGTTTTGCACTCGTATGTAAATATATTATATACTTTGTTAGTAAATAGACATGTATGGCCTTAGCTACGCATTTTTTTATACTCGATTGCTCGATACTAGATAATTATAGATCTGATAAAAATAAAAGCGGTATGCGGTATGCTTGTGGCGGAATATACTTACAAATAAGTGTTGTGCGGCAACACGTGCCTTATCTCTGAATGCCGTCGGACTACGGTCCAACATAACGTAACGATATGTTAACTACGTACCAACATAGTGTCTATCAACATCTACAATAGTTATGTTGTGTCCAACATGGCATGTTGAAACGACTTACGAATTTTATGAAATAAAACAACTTTTATAATAAATATTTTATTAAAATGTTTTCTGTTAAAATATCACAGAACGGACAAATTTAAAAAAGCAACATTAAATAATACTTAAATTCTAATAAAAACTTTTTACATCTTAAGAAATACGATTCTAGTGAAAATGAAAAACGCCTTACTATAACATGTAGTTAATATGTAACAAATTTTACCTTACAGTACAAAATAAACATAAGTGACTATATTTTGACTTTATCAACCCGCGGTCGCGCTACCAAAATCAGTCCCATGACTATGAAAAATATGCCCAACCACAATAGCACAGTGGCGCCGTCATCGAACAAAGTAACTCCAATTACGACCTGTAACAAATTATAATACCGTGATTATTTCTGTATAAATAAGTTAATACTTCTATTATACTTAACAGTTTGACTAGGATAAACACAAAAATGACTGTATGTAACCTTTTCATTATAGGCTGGCCTTAGTGGAAAGAGACACTTACTGATAATACATAACTAGAGGCCGCTGAGATGACAGTAGGTGCTACAGAGTTGTTCGCTGCATCCAACGAGCGTAGGTAGTAACGACATCCCCATGTATTGGTTAGCACCATCACAGCCAGAAGTATAGCCCATATTAAGTAGCTATCACCCTATATAAGATAAATAAAGAATATGTTACACTTAGAGGGTAGATAGAAATAGATGGATCTTACATGTGGCACAACTTGCTCACTTTTTTCCCCACTCATATACACACATACATTTTGTTAGTTCCCTATTACTTTGTGTTATGTTGGTGGAGTTCAGTAACAGTTGCCTTGCTTAGTGGGAAAATATCACAACAAAATTTAGTTCTGTATTTTCTCACCTTAGGAAGTGAAAGATCAATGCCTAGACAAGTCAATTTAATTCTAAGATAAGTAGCGCTACCACTTAACACTTTTTCTTGTTTCTTAAGAAAAATAGCCATACCTCTTCTGAGGATACAACTTATGAAGGTATATATAATTGGAATTAGTTAATTATAATACATTTCAATTTATATTTCTTTTACATTAAATAACTTTTAATTTCAATAAAGAACATTGTGTTGTTTATTTCTACTTACTACAATTGTAGGCGTTCCAGATAATTTACCCAAAGTGCTACCAATTGATGCCCATGTACCTGCTAAGAAAGCTTCATAAAACATTTTCTACGCAAACTTTTGTCTTTATATTTACATAAACTTTGTAAGTATACACGTTTGTAATATTATATATTAATATTACACCATTTTATTTTAAAAATATTATGAACGGCCAAATTTTTTAAGTGATAAGTAAATATAACCTTTATCAGCTTTAAAAAAAGTTGCTGTTATATGTCAACTTCTCCACTGTCAAATCGTCTGACAAGGCGATCAAAGAGTATATAAAATAAATAATAAATAAAAGGCGATAGTAGATGGCGAAACATAAACATCTTTTTTATTCTTTTTGGATAAAAACCAAACCAAGTATTTTTAAACTAATAACGTAATTCCTGCTGCAAATCCAAGCAAAGCCTAAGTATGAATTAATATCTGCTGATCTTATTTAATTACGTGAGAAACATAAAATAAGCAAACACAATATTTCAATAGTCTTCATGAATTTATAATCTTTAATTTTTCTCTATAATTTATTGTTCAATGTCAAGTATTTAAAAGGATTTTTTTTTGTCAAATTGATGCACCATTTGCGCATCCGTGGGCAAGCAATTATTAATTTAGTCGGACTCGGACTTAAATAACATCTTAAAAATTTACTCAAACGAATTGAAAGGAAAGTGTAATTGATCCATTACAAAGAATATTATCATTATTACTTTTACCACTCTATGTTGCCTTAGCCTTTAGCTATAGAGTTGTTTTTGATTTATTTTACATATTTTAAAAAGATTATTAAAATAAAATGGATTTTGTGAAAAAGGGAGATAATATCTTAATTATTTGGAATAAAAGTGAACAAAATGACATTGCTAACTTTGTAAATGAAATTAAAAGCATAGCTACAGAAGGAAATGTTTTTCTAGAAAACTCCACAATGATCAATGACTGTTAGTATTGTAAGCTTAAATGTATTATAATGATTGTAATTTAATTATTTTCATGTTAAAAACTGTTTTTATTTTCAGCATCTAGACCTAAATCTTCATTTGATGCTGTTCTATGCAATCTCATTCCACCGCATTCCGTTGAACACAGTGATAGTTTATTATCCTTAATAATAAAGATTCTTAAGCCAAGTGGTAGATTAACTGTCAAAGATAATACAGATCTGTCCAGTACATTAAAACTCAATGGTTTTGTTAATGTAACAAAAAGTGCTGATAATACATACATTGCAGAAAAACCTAAATTTGAGGTAAGTGCTTGTAAATACTTATTTTATTTTTTTAAGAAATTACTGTATTCTAAAAATCTATGGTGTTTTTTGTTTATGAATAGACTGAATTGTGCACTTTTAAAATTAATAATTTAAATTAATTCCACTACTTTTTTTGTTTGAGCATTTTATATGATCAAGTGTCATCACATACATATGTAAACATTAATTTTAGGTGGGTTCAAAAGTATCATTAAAACTGGGACAAAAGCCTGCAGTATGGAAATTAGATGACACAGTAGAGGAGGCATGGACAGGAGGCAACAATGATGAAATTATTGATGATGATCAACTTCTGGACGAGGATGACTTGAAGAAGCCGGACAAACAATCTCTTAGAGGTAAATATGTATAAGCTTACTAGATGTCACCCCTAAAACTCTGTCTGCTAAATTAGTAGCCTATGTGTTCTTCCAGTCTTTGTTCTACTTCTATGCTAAATTTAAACAAGATCCTTTCAGCCGATCTGGAGATACCTCCAAATAAACATTCACATTTATATTAGTATAAGTTTTATATATTTTCAAAGTGTATTTGTTGGATGATTTTGCAATATTTTAACTCTGCAAACTCATGGTAAGAAAATGTGGCTGAATGATAAAGATCATTCTCAGGTAGCTGCTAGAATTTACATGGGATGCAAACCATAGTCTCTCCTTTGTAGAATTCAACACAAAATAATCAAAGCAAGATAAATATCTTTTGATTATATCAGTGCTGATAATTATGTCAAAAAAATTTAATATTATCTATGCCACTATCACATAACATATACTTAGTTATCGCATTTTTTTTGGCTGCATGTACAATTAAAGGTTTTGTGTTGCGAGTAATAAATGTTTTGTGTTCCAAGTGCTTAAGGCCGTGACTAAGGTCAACGGCTTTATTGAATAATGACGCTTAATATTATTGCCTCAATTGCATGTTGTTAACAATCGTTATATCTACAATACAATGCGCGATTCAACAGCTTCTTGATATATTTTATGAAGGTTTTATAAAATAAGTATAGTATTGTAGTAGACAAAAACATAAATTTGTTCTAGATATGCCAAATAAAATGTCTATGCCTTCAAGACTGAACCAATGTTTATTAGTTGACTCCGAAATGTCTGATGAACTTTATATAAAATGATTTACCTTATTTTTTAATCTTTATGTAGTTAATGTTTAGTGATATGTTGTATGGATGGTAATTGATATTATTTCAATTCCAGTTTGCGCTACAACGGGCAAGCGTAAGGCGTGTGCGGATTGCAGCTGCGGCTTGGCTGAGGAGCTGCGAGGTGAAACTAAAGACACGCCGAAATCGTCTTGCGGGAGTGTGAGTATTCAACATTATTGAGATAAATTGTTAGCAAAACTGTTTAATTCCACAATACATAGATTTAAATTTTGTTCTCTGCTAATATTAATAAGGATACTGGTATAGGTTATGTTTAAATTATTTTTTCAACATCTTGTTTGGATGTCCTTTCTAGGACTGTTTGTATATCTGTGTCATTTGAATTTTAACACACTCACTGCTACAGATTTGCTTGGTCCCATTTTCGATATGTAATCTGTTATTGGGATTTGCAGGTTTTAAATTTTTATTTTATTTTTTCAGTGTTACCTTGGAGATGCGTTCCGTTGTGCGACCTGTCCGTACCTCGGCATGCCGGCTTTTAAGCCTGGAGAAAAAGTGTTGTTGGACCTAAAGTCTGATATATGAGTTATGCAGTATAGTTCATAATTTCCTTAGAATCTGTTGTAAACTAAGATGGTTTTCAACTTTATTTTAATAGTATTCGAGTTGTGATTGCTTTTTAATAAATATTTTGTTTATATTTTATTTATTTGTACTATTATCCTTTCTTAAATTAGTCTGGACCGATTGTCGGCACTCATTGCAACTCACTGATGTGTGTTTTTAATTCTGTGAATAGTATTTTTTAATAAATCATCTTAATCTTACTAATATAAATACGAATATTTAAATGGATGGATGGGTGTTTGAAAGTATCTTCTGAACGGATCTCGATGAAATTGGGCATATGTATAGAACATAGTATGGAAGAACAAGTAGACTTCTTGTTTAGTTTTTTTTTTAATTCTGCGCGGATAGAGTCACGGTTGACAACTAGTTTGGAATAAAGTGAATAAAACAATAAAATAGCAAATATTCCATTATACATATTTTCTCTTTTCATTTTACAAACAGTTAACTTAGTTTTAACATATCTCGCTCTATAACATTTTCCATTTACATTTATTTCAATTATTACTCATTCTGCTATACAATAAAATATATATATTTGCCATCGTCATATAATTATATAACAAGTTTTATTTATAATTATTTATCTATTAATTAAATGACACAATATTACCTGTTCTCTACAGTTACATTTTAAAAACAGTATTATATCGACAATATAAGTTTTGCGATAAAAAAATTATTTAATAAAACTGTTTTTAATATGTGATCCACGAGTCTATGATAAGATAAAGTGAATTATAAATTTCAATTGGTTAAATTTATTCAATAACTTACCATAAACATTCGAACTTCTAGATGTTAGGATGGCACAATTGTGTGTCAGAATATTGTGTTAATGATGGTATACTAAATAAAGGCTATGGAAACCATTACTGGCCGTACCTAACATTGGCAACAATTACCGTGGGTTTCTAAAAACAAAATCCCAGTATAAAACATATCTCTGTTCTGTCAAAGATGACAGGTATAACGATACGTTTTATGCAGAAATTTTGACTTTACAAACCCATGATAAAACAATTACTCGTAATTTAAATCTTTATTAAATGTAACTATAAATTCATACATTTTACAACGGTTATAAACACAGCAAATAATTTTACACGCATCCACAACCTGTGTGCATTAACATCGATAATATTTAAATAGAAACATGCAAAAATAATAGTGTTGCCAGATTGATAAGTCTCAGATAGATTAAAAAGAATTTCAGTTCAAAAACGAGAATACAATGCGAATTATTTCCAAGCAATTTTTTACTGATAATTTTTAAACTCTTGAAATATATTTAATTTAATCTTAAAATAATATTGACTGCATATAACTAATTGCATATTGATTAAAAGTTTAGAAATTATTAAATTTACACAAAATTTTTATTTATTCTTAGTTTTCGAGTGAGCATTGCGGTAGAAGGCAAATTTAGACAGTTGTCATAAAATAACAGTTTTATATTTTATATATGTAATATGCATATATAGAATGTATAAGGTACGCGTCTATTGGCCCTACCGCGTAGTGCGTCCGCACCGCACGCACGGATTAAATGGATTTGTCTGACCATGCGGGCGGCGCGGAAAGCAAACTAAAATCCGTTGGTGACCGAGCGTGCCATGCGTCCAGTGCGGCCCAATGGACGCGTACCTATAGACAGAAAGTTCTACGTCGTAATGAAATCAGTATTATATACTTTATGATGTGTTTAAATTATCCTAATATAAAAACACGGAAGAACATCGATTGCGCCAACAACTATCAAATATGCATGAAATATTAAGATTAAAGAAAGAAAAGAAAAATTACTTATCTATTATTGCGATTCTACAACTTCCGTGGAAAAAATCATCTAATCAACTTTATGAGCGAAAATAAATTAATACTTTTTTTGAATTTGGATTTTAGGAAATAATACTTTTTTGTAACGAATTTTGTACTTAACGATCGTCCATCCTGTCGTAGCGGAGCCGATGGCGTCCGTTTACAAAATAAATGCTCCTATCTCATAATTTAAGTAATATCTTCGAAGAAACTACTATCCCACAACATTCAGTAAAGCGTCCCAGTCTTTTTAAAAGTTTATTTTCATCAAATTGAGATCTTGCTTAGACTCGTTTGCGATCGCGTCTCCCCGCGAGACACTAGTCTTAGAGTTTGTGAGGTAGGCTTAGTCATGATCTAATGAAAGCGCCTTGTTAGAAAATACCGATTAATAAAATGAGATCTTTCATTAAAATTACAAATAATATAAAAAAAACGATAAAACTAGAATTACATACATTATACAACAAATTATTAACGTTTTTTTGTTTACAACACTATCCGTCCGCGGTGCGTCCGCGCTCTGCGCTCGTCCCTTAGCGAATGGCCGACGAGCACGCGACAGTTGACGGTACAATGAAAACACCTCAATATCGACCCCCCTCCACCCCCGCCGCGCAGAGTACACAAAGTTTGGCAAGTTTACATCACAATACACAGTCGCTAAATTGCCAAATTATTGTACTAACTTTACGTACAAAATTTTTTCAAAATGACATCTTTATAAGTTAGGGGAGATGAATTTTTATATATGTTATCCAGTTACCTCTTTTAAACGAAGTAATTTGAAGTAAAGGTCAATTTAATTGTAAGAATTATTTAAAAGAATTTCTGTTTGTTGTTATAAGTTTTGATTTTTAATTCCTAATTAATAAAAATCAAAGATAATTTGAAATAAAAGACAATTGATAACATGTCTTAATATTTAAAAAGAATATGTTGATATGGCCATGTGTTTGTCGTTATCTGTGTAACGTTATATGTATATTAATCACAGTTGCTATATGTTTATTTTGTATCAAAATTTTTTTTTGTCATCCAGCGTATCGTTCCCGAGTATGTAACTACGACTCCTTACCAATAACGCACTTATTATTCTAAAAACATATATATTTTCCAAGCAATACTTCATACCTACTCTGAACTACAAAATATCACAGACGGTGTGTTTATTATGTATACATTTTCTCGTAGAAAAGTTAAGTGTATCACACATGGACGTCAAAACCAATAGAGATGGCATCTAATAACCATGACCATTATATATTTTTATTTTACAATAAATGTATAAACAATATAATCAAATTATTTCTCAAGAAGTCAGCCATTTGTTCTACTAAGTACTCGCTGAAATTTCTAATTTGTTTTTTGAAATAGAAACGCTTGAAATGAATTGCAAATTGTGCGACCCGCGCACGATATGTCGCTGTCACAACCATCAGGGTAATCCGGAAAATAATCTAAAGGACTGCTTCGAAACAAAACCAAGTTTAGTTCGGAAACCCACAAATATCGATAAATCGGAGTTTAAGCACACGCCAACATCACTCGTTATTCCCACTAACAAAACTTTTATACGTAAACTATTGTTATCTCTTTCTTTCAAAGAGAATGAAAGAGAAGATAATATGTTTTGTATAGTGTTTCATTAGTGGAAACCCAAGATATCTCGCAACAATTCATTGTACCTTTAAGTTTAACCGTCGCCAGTTGTCAGAGACGGGCGATATAAATCTCATTATTTATCACAATATCTAACCTAGTATAAAGATCTGATAAATTACGCGTTGTTATTTTGTGCTCTTTCAGATATTTCGTACTCCATGTTATATTACTATTTTGGGTTTATGCTTCATGTGAACAATATTAGAACCAATATTAAAATAAATTTTATCCGCTGAAATAATTATACTTACAAGTATTAAATTTTTAGTGAATTAAAAACATATTTACATCTATCTGCCGCACTCAGAGACTTTAATCTGTCATTAAGTGACGCTTAACAGCTCTGATTGCGGTAGTAAATAAATGATTTATATAGTATTCAGCGTGGTATAAAGTTTCCGGCACTTTTGTGACATAACATTGGTCATGGAGTGTAATATTCAATAGACTTAATTTACCTATTTACATTAATTACACGAACGCGTATAGAAGCACCCGACAGAAATAAGCACCTGGTGTTCCCCGAGAGAACGTAAGCGTACGGTCAGCGCTTGCTGTCACAACTACATCGAACCGAACGCACACACGCGTACCGATTTAAATATATTGCCGGCCATTTTCAATCTGTCACATGTCAAAATAACGCGGGAACTCTGAAAATTTTGTCACATTCACGCGATTTTTAAATCGTTCCATCTCTATTTATAGAACAAATTAAATTGTAAATTGTTTCGTCATTCTTAATTTTAAATCTAATCAAAAATTAATCTTTCTTATCTGTAATTAAATTATTTCTTTTGAATGAAAACGGATTTTAAGGCCTATCAATTTAATTAAATCGTTGCGCACGCGAAGTCACTGGGTCGATCTTTTTACCTACATTACAATGTGAGTTTGGCTCACCTTTACAACTAATGAATTTCACGATCTCCTCGCTAGAGCGGGGCAAAGTCCGAGCGAACGCACGGGAAAGTTTTCACAATTTGACATGTATGGTTCGCTCAACGCTTCTTGAGCGGTGGACGGTCATCGTCGTTCACATCGGGGGCGGACCAGCGTCGTTTGCGGGCGTCCTCTTTCACACTGAGGTTCTCTGGGTGTGTCTGTGGCGGTGCTGGTAGACAGCTGGTGACATTATTAACCCCCAGATTACTGGTAACTGTGCCGTTAGCAGCCGTGTGGCTCTTAGCGACCAGTGACACGCAGACGTCTCCGACCTGCAGCCTCTGCACTCGCAGGCCGTACCGCGCCAGCGTGCGCTCCGGCTTGCAAGATGCCCAGCCTCGTCCGTACACGAAGAACGGCCTGTCCACCGTCCAGTCTAACTCCACCTGGAATATACAAATAAATAATTAAAAATAAGTTATTAAATAATAATCGATAAGTATTAACTAGATTGTGCGACTGTGTGAGGCATAGGGTAGGAATAATTTTGTGGTGATTTGTGTTACCTGAGTGCGGTTCCTATCATAGGTGAGCGTGAGTGCGAGGTTGTCGCCGCGCTCGTCGAGGCGCAGCAGCGTACACTTGGTAAGGGCGAGGTGCGCGCTGCGGCCCGCACTGCTCACGAAGTCCTCCGTTCGCATCTCCTCCACGCGCCGCAGCGACCCGTCCTCCAGCCGGATCATAGCGCCGCGACAGAAGTACGGCGCCGGTGCACCCCGCTCCGGCGACATCGGTGCCTCCTGAAAACATCATACAACATACGTTGTTATTTCTTGCCTTTAACTTTGTTAGAATTTTACAGCATTGGTATAAACACAAGTTAAATGAGATGACAAGACATTTTACCTCTATGGAGGGAGGCACGGGCGCGGGCGCAGGCGGTGGCTGTTCGTGCGGCACGGGCGCCGGCGAACGGTGAGGTGCAGGCGCAGGCGCGGGCGCAGGGGGCACGAAACCGGAGGAGGAGCGTGCTCGCAACGGGTAGGCGGCAGGGGGCTGCGGGCGCGCGCCGTACAGGTAGGCGTAGGGCGCATGCGGCAGGAAGGGCGCATAGCCGGCGAAGGGCGCCGGGGGCGGAGGGTGAGGCGCAGGGGCGGGCGGCGGCGCTGGCGCGGTGTGCGCGGGCGGGTCCCGCGGTCGGCGCGCGGCGTAGCGCGGATAGGGGCGCGGCGGGGGTGTGAGGAACTCGGGCGTCATTGCGGCGGGCGGCGGCGCAGGGTACAGGTGGCCCAGGTGCCCCAGCTGCAGCTGGGCCAGCGCCTCGCCGGGGTGGCTCGCCGAGATCATCGGATGTGCTGCAAATGACAACAGTTACAAATTAAAAACCTACTCTCGATACTTTAAAACAGTGACAAATTCGGCTGCAATGGCTGTTATTATCTGGGCTAATGCGTCTGTAGTACTAACAAAACCGCTGAATACATTGTAATTTAAAAGAAAAACAGTTCATAAACTAAAGTAAAAAATGATGCCCTGTTGTGCAATACATGTATAAGTACTTCATAATCTCATCTTTCGAATGGTATTAAAAAAGATAGCTTACACAAAGTCGTTTGTACCATGTCCTGTTTACACGAAAATAAAAATCAGTTTCTAGTTAAAACACAAGCGATTGTTTACTCAACAGATGCGTTCAACACGTGTTACGTTCACTCGATGCGTTTATAAGGAATTAAACTCGTCAGTAAGCGCCTCTACCCAATTACATGTAGATTATGTTTAAGAATAAAATCTATTTATAAAGTTTACGTAGCCGCCCCACATTCTTATCGCACACATGCAACCTCTGATCAGTTACACACACAGGGAAGTGCAGATGTCGGATCTATCTACATATATGTTGCGGATAAAGTGATTGATTAAGACATTATACACTATGTTCCGATATTTTACATTAATATTTTAATGTTCCAAAATAAAACAAAACTACATGTTAATTGACATCCATTAACATTAGATTGAAATTAACGTTACATTATTTAAATAATCAATCTTATAATATTGTAATGAACTAATAAAGTTTTAACATAAAGCATAAAAATAGAGCGTCGGCTGCTCAGGGGTCAAGCACTTGACTTGCAATCTGCATGTCCAGGGTTCGAATCCCGCCATGTACCAATGTGTTTTTCGATTTCAGATTTACATATATACAGTAATCCGATGTTCTTACGGTGAAGGAAAACATCGTGATGCAACCTGCACATATCTGAGAAGAAATTCAAAGATATGTGTGAAGTCAACTAACCCGCACTTGGCCAGCGTGGTTGACTATGGTCTAATCACCCTTAATTTAGGGTAGGCCCCGAGCCTTCCGGTGGGGACGTATAGTGAGCTGATGATGATGATATAAAACAATATCTTAGCAATAATGACTGAGTGTCGCGATAAATAATATTTTTTTTACATTTACCTCATATGTCTGGTCATTATACGTAAAGTCAGTATTAATTAATTGTCTACAACATGCGTGGATCGAGATCAGTGTAAGGACGTCTGGCAAGATAAATATTACACAACGAATCCTTTTTAAGACAGGATATTGCTAATACTAGCATATTGGCATATCTAGCATATATATAATAGGTGTTAGAAAGATAAAATAAAATTCACTCTTTTCGAAAATAAACGTGTATTGTTGAATATGAACAGAAAAAGACAAACGAATAAAATTTTTACAAATTTAAATGAATAAATTATTTCTTCTTTTCTTTGTGGCCTGACTTAAAGTATTGAAACTCCTTGGACATACCGGCCACCAAAGACCTTTGTCTTTAAAACCATTAAAGACCGGCCACCGTGAGGAATAATCTAAAAATATGTATCTTTGTTGCATTGTATGCAAGTACTCTAACTGCCAACATTTCCAAAACTGGGACATCATCCTTTGTAAAAGTTGCCACCTCGTAAGAAGATTTATGTTTCTGAATATGGATATGAAACTGGCTTCATTTAACCTGCCTCCTACTCTTAATATGCCATCTCTATCAATAAAAGGATCTAAAGTAATCAGTTTACTTCTCCTTTTCACTTTATTGTTCCGCTTCAAATCTTGAATTTCTTCTCTAAAGCATAATTCCTGATATTGTAATATAAATAATAAAATAAATCTGTTCATAACGATTTTCAATTCTTCAGTAGTTAAATAAGAAGATTTCTCCTCACCCTTCTTAAACTTCATTCTCCGGCAGTATGCTAAGACACTTGTTAGTTTATTTAAGTTAGAAAATCTTTCCCATATAGAGACTTCATCTGAAACATGTAGTGTCTTGATATCATTTTTCTTGATTTCTAATTCTGTTGATGGAATGTCTTTCTTCTCGTATAAAATATTTTCTTTTCTTAGCCAGCTCGGTCCGTGCCACCATAATTCATTTGTTCGTAATTCTCTTGCACTAATTCCACGCGAAGCTGGATCGGCTGGATTCTCAGAAGACCTTACATGATGCCATTTTTCATTATCCATTAGCTGTATAATTTCAGAAACTCGATTACCTATAAATGTTTTCCATCTGCTTGGCTGTGACTGCAGCCAAGACAGAACTACCATTGAATCAGTCCAGGCGAAAACATTTTCTTTAGGAATATTCAATATATTTCTTACTTCATTCAGTAAGCTCGTTAGTAGTACAGCAGCGCATAATTCCAATCTCGGAACGGATATTTGTTTTAATGGAGCTACCTTAGTTTTTTCAGCTATTAAATTAACACATACTTCATTTTCTTCTGTAATAACTCTCAGGTATGCAACTGCCGCATACGCTGTTGTCGAAGCATCTGCAAATCCATGTATCTCCACCAGCTTATTCTTTGAATGTAATTTCAACCATCTTGATAATGTAATAGTTTGCAAATTACTCAAATCTTCTCTATATGTAGTCCATTGATTAATTAAATCAAGTGGCAGTTCCTCGTCCCAATCTCTTCTACAAAGCCATAACTTCTGTATAAAAACCTTTGCCGTTACGACAACAGGTGATAACCATCCGAATGGATCAAATAAACGGGAAATGTCTGATAAGATGTATCTTTTAGTAATGGAATAGGATAACTCTGGTAAGTGGACTGTAATGTGGAAGGTGTCATCTTGCCTATTCCAAATCAAACCTAGAATCTTGAATATAGGATCCATTTTGAAAGTCAACTTTTCTATCTCACAATTAGACTTATTTTTCATCTGACTTAATAACTCACTTGAATTGCTTGACCATTTTTGCATCTCAAAACCT